ATGAACATCTATATATATATATTACATATATATATATTACTACTTTTGAGATTGAAAGGTATGGAGATCAGAAATCTAGTGAGCTTCAGAAAAAACACAATAACCGGAGAATTTCCCAACTATTAGGCATTAGTTTCTCAGTCATGTCAAATTTCTAAGAATTTTGTTTCTCAAAATTTAAAATTTGTGGAATTGAGGTAGAATGGCTCCTTACGGCTTTCTAGAAAAATTATTTGACACATCTTTTTTTTTTTTAATTTTAAGATTTAGCTATGGCCATTTTATTTTTACGTAGACACTTAATTGACATAAAAAAAAATTAGTGTTGTCCCGCTTCAAAACATTTAAATTAAAGAGGACTGTGCCATGGCCTTGATGGCTGGTACGCAGGAGTCAAGAGACTGGGAAGGAGAAGTAAATGCCAGCGAACTCGCCAACTTGCTCCAACTTTGACTTTTCTGGCAGGGACGTTAATTCAGAGCTTTCCTGCCAGGAGTTTCCTTGCATTACATGGATAGGAAGTTACACTAGTCCTCTAGACTAGTGGACATTTGGTCCTGTCCAAAATGCCCATGGAGACCTGCATGTGGTCTATGCCAAAATGTCCTTGGCCAAAACGTGCATGGTTAACATAAATTCCTCTCTTCCGCAAGATTCGAGCCCTAATCCACCTACCCAACTCCATGTGCCACGACCAGCTCGGCCACCAAGGCGAGAAGTGATTACTGACCATACAGCCACAACACAATTATTGGGCCAATAAACATGACAGTATTTTAATGAATTAATCCTGTAAACCAAAAGTATAAATAAATGATATGGACTATTTGAACCCAGGGAAGTTTGCAAAGTGTGGACATTTTTGACAGGGTCAAATATCAAGGGCCATTTGGCACGGATCAAACATGCTCATGGACATTTTTGATAAGACCAAATTTCCAGGACCTTTTGATGTGGTCCAAATGACTCAGTGGACAGGGCCAAATGTCCTGCGAGGGTCCTTTAGAGAGGCAGCCAGTCTGTAGGGTCAGACGGATCCAAGTTTAAATTTACTCAACTCCCTTATCTACTAACTGTGCTACTTTGGGCAAATTACTTAACCTTTTTGAACCTCATTTTCCTCCTTGTAAAGTTTAATAATGATAATATCTACCTCAGACGATGGCCCTGGTTAATGAGATTATGTATAGCGTGTGTGCCCTCGATATATACTGATTTCTTGCCCCTCCCAGCTCTCCTGATGAAGAGGCTGAAGTGCCAAGGGTTAGGGGTTTTACCTAGCACAGTGCTGGTAAAGAGGATGGAAAATAGGCCAATCAGATTCCAGTTTAGTAAAAATGAGACTTCAAGTAGCCACATAGAAGTGTGAAAGTCAAAGACTCCCCATTAAAGGCCAAGACCCCACCTTGGCCATCTCAAGACTCAAGATAAAATCAGCAATAGGACTGCTAATGCCTTATTTCACCTCTCCATTTTATTTGGGGCACACAGTCCAAGGCCTGGAGGTCCACTAGAATGAATCCCATGAGAGATACTAGGTTACCTGTAAGATGGGCGCACCTTGATTTTGTTGCTATTTTAATGTATAAAGTCTCAGACTGATCAATGACGGAAACCAGCTCAGACTGATTTCCATTTATAGTGGGTTGAATAGTAGCATCCCCAAGTTTTTACTTCTGCATCTGAAATTTCACTTACGAATGTGTCCTTTTTTTGAAAGTAGGGTCTTTGGGATATAATTGGTAAAGGTGAGGTCATAATTGATTAAGGTAGGTCCTAAATCCTAAAACCAATGACAGGTGTCCTTATAAGAGAAGACCCACAAGAAAAGAAAGCCATATGAAGATGGAGGCAGAGAATGGAATGATGAAGCTATAAACCACGGAATGTCAAGGGTGGATGGGAGCCACACGAAACCAGAAAGAGGCAAGGAAGGATTCTTCCCTGGAACCTTCAGAGAGAGAATGACCTTGCCGACACCTTGATTTCAGACTTCCAGCCTTCAGAACGGCGAGAGAATAAATTTCTGTTTTAAGCCACTACACCGTGGTCATTTTTCAGGGCTGCCCTATGAAACTAATGCACCTCTCCACATCATGTTAGGATTCTGAGTCTTTATAGCCGTTTCCCTTCTGTAGTGAGTACTTTTCTTTCTCCTCCGGTTTTTTTTCGTTTTGCCAGTTTTTCTCCCTGCCACACTCCTCACAACCTTCAGGTCCTAGTTTCTGGTGTTCTAGCTTCCACGCTTTTCAGCACGGCTCTTGGCTTCCCTGAATTTGGTGTGTATCAGTCTCACCAGCGCACAGAGGGGCTAATAGAATGCTGGGCCTCGAATTCCACTAACCAGCTGTGACCAAAAACTGTGGCGCGTGACTACTCTGTGCCCCAGATTCCTCACCTGCAAAACAGAAATAAACACCAGCCTTGCTACCTACCATACAGGTCATTGAGTTTCAAATCTGACAGGTGAGAAAGGGCCTTGTAAACGTGAAGGCTCAATTAAACTCGTAAGAAGCTATTCCATTCTTATTAGAACCCTCGCTGAAGATAAAGGACCTGGCAAACTGAAACTGTGCGTTTCTGATCTCAGAGCTATTCTGACATCCCTCCTTTCCTCCAAGTCCTCTCCTCATGTCTGTGCCTTTATAGGTCATCGACTTGATTAGGAGGAGGACAGGCCGTGACTTGTCTTTAATTTGTGGGAAGTAAAGCTTTGAATAGTTACTGACACCCCCAGAACTGTGTCAGGCCCCCAGCCACGACCCAGGCAAGTTGAAACGTCAAGGAAATATGAAACGTTGACTATATTTCTTAAGTTCCCACCTTTCCTTGAGTCGGAATTATTATGAACAGAATTACTTAAGTTCAATTTATTGGCAAACGCACATCTCCAGAGACTTTTACATCATGGACCTTTAATATTTTTTAAAAAAAAAGCTTAACAAATCAGGAAACTTCAATGACAAACTTACTTTTTTTAAGTAAAAAAAATCCCAAATTTAAACTGGTTTGTAGTCAATGGTCAATCTTAATTTTAAAGGCAGTGAAGAAAGCAAAGTAATTAAAATCAGCCAAGTAAGTAACAACTAGACTAATAATTTTTTCCTCTACTCATTAAACTACTAATTTATGTCATTTTTAAATACATATTAACGGCATTTCATCAATTTTAAAACAGACATTTTTCACATTTTAACACCTATGAAATCACAATGCAATATACATATTATGTATTATTCAATCGTACACTTGAAACCTATATAAATTTATTAACTAATGTCACCCCCAATAAATTTAATAAATATTAAAATAAACAAATAAGTAAATATAAATTATTTGATTAAAAGAAATTAATTAATTTAAAATAAAGCTAACAAAAGAGATGAGCTATATTAATGTCGCCTTTCTTTTATAATTGCCGGGGCTTGTGTTTTTTTAATTTTCCTATCTGAGTGGAACTTAAAATGTTAGCGTAAGATCAAGGGGTCTTAGAGTCTATGAAATATGGTATTTTATTTAATGAAGATGGAAACTGTGAGACTTGTAATTAAATTTCTTTTTCTTTTTATAATATTCTTAGCAAATTTCAATGTAACCAGTGTGGTGCATTTTTTGCCTCAGAAATACATATTTGCACTGTTTGCTATAGAATTCGATCATTTGTTCTTCTTGAGAACAAATGCATCATTAAAAAGAGAGGATATAATTCTGAGACCAAAGAATAGAAAGAAATGAGATTTAGAAATAAAACTACAGTACGGTGTGAGGAAAAGTGAAACTATTTCATTTCCATAATTACATCTTTGCAAAATGTCTTCATAGAACCCAGGGAGTGTTCTGCTCCAGTCTGCATTAATGATATTTAAGAGTTCTGCTTTCCGGCCACCAATCCCTTGCCGGACATCCCCTATCTTTTCTGAGCTTCAGTTTTATATGTCGAACAAAGAGATAGAGCTGTATGTTTTTTGAGATTTGTTCCATTTCTAGGAATCTGTTCATTCTCCTTTTGAGAAGATTTGCACAGACATGTTTGTTAATACATCCCCTATTCAAGTCCCCAAAGCGTAAGAGCTCCCGGGTCCCCTTGCCTTACCAGCTTGGTCACTGACTTGCTGAAAGTTTTCATTTACACTGTAAAGAAACGAAAGTATTGTGAATCAAACAATGTATGTAAATAAATTATACTAAACCACTTTTTAATTAAACAGATGAGAGTAAATGCAGAGTTAGGGTTTATCAGAAGAGGACTATTCTATTTTGTACTTTTAAACTGGTACATAAACTTTGCAATAATATGAGTAATCTGTCAAGCACTGAGTTACAGTGAAAATCCCTACATGTTGCACCTTGCCCCAGAAGAATTAGTCACATTGTTTTTGTGGATCTTTGCGAGAGAAATGTGTAAGGGCGCAAAGAATCACTTACAAGAATCCAGAGTCCAGCCACTGCTGAATACTTTCCTGTTTGGCATCTTCTACAAATGAGAAGAAATAGACCATTCAGTCAAAGCACAACCAGTTAAAACGACTCTCCTTCATTATTCAGCCACCACCCAATAGCTCCCTTTCCTACATGTGTAGTCACATGTTTCTATAAACATATTCATTTTTTTCCCCAAGGCAAAACTTCCTGTTTTCCATAATCAGCCTTCCCTGAAAATGAAGTATAAACTTGCCAAAAGACTGTAACTTAAAAAAAAAAAAAAAAGATGATATAAACGGGAAGAAAAAGAAATTACTGAAGAGCAAGCTATGTTAGAATAATTATTAAATTACCTGGCGTGAGTGCGAAGGGCGAACAAGCATATGAGACCTTTGTCTTGCAGAATGTAAATCACCCCGGAGCCTCTCTCCTTATTGAATCACGACATTTACCTAAGGCAGCTAGCCAGGGATGTTTATTTGCAAGGAATTCTCTGCCAGGTTAGAAACCAAATTTGCATTCATTCCAGGGACAAATTGCACTAGACTCCCAGGATTGCCAAAGGCACCTTGTGTTAAAAAGGTACCAGCCTTTAAAGGTGGATCTTTATCTCTGGCACAAAAGAGAGGGCTATCAAGGCAGCATTTCCTGTTAAATATTTGTTTCCTGTTAAACATTTGTTTCAATTCTGGTTGGCTACTCTAGGCTGATTTCCTTTGACTTTATCCTACCAAACAGTGAGGTACCTGAATTACCTACTCACCAGGTATCTGGTGAACCAAAAAGGCCATGTGGACATAGGAGGTGTTTATTCTTCAGCTGAGGTAATGTGAAGGGGTAGAATGAAGTGGATGGTGGGCAAAGAAGAAAAACCATTAAACAGTTAATCACAGTGGAGGGAGAGTATTTTCTTATTACTCTTTAAGCTATTAAATTATTGTTGATGCCTCATGTAAGACCCAGCAAATAAGAGCCTTTTGATAAAGAGTCTGAAGTCCAGAAGGAAACCTCGTGTCTCTGGCATGGACTCCATACAGCTTTGGGGCCCTGGGAGTCTTAGGATGAGGGGATTTTCAAGTGGAAAGGAAACAGAGTTCATTCGTGAGTTTGTCTATTTCCATCAAGAAGGTCTATGTTTTGAGTGTCTGTAGGAGAAATCAGAACTGCCCATTTTAGCAGAGGACCTGAATCGACATTTCTCCAAAGAGGATAGACAGATGGCCAAAAGGCATGTGAAAAGATGCTCAACATCACTCATCATCAGAGAAATGCAAATTAAAACCACCATGAGCTAACACCTCACATCTGTCAGAATGGCTATCATCAATAAATCAAAAACCAGCAAGCAAGGACAAAGATATGGAAAAAAGAGAACTCTTGTGCCCTTTGGTGGGATTAAAAATTGGTGCAGCCCCTATGAAAAACAGTATGGAGGTTCCTCAAAAAATTAAAAAAAGAACTACCTTATGATCCAGTAATTCTACTTCTAGGGGTTTATATGAAAAAACCCAAAACACTAATTTGAAAAGACATGTGCATCCCTATGTTCACTGCAGTGTTATTTACAATAGCCAAGACATGGAAGCAACATAAATGTCCATCGATAGATGACTAGATAAAGATGTGTGTGTGTGTGTGTGTGTGTGTGTGTGTGTGTGTGTGTGTGTACATATATATATAATGGAATATTACTCAGCCACAAAAAAGAATGAAATCTTACCATTGCGACAACATGAATAAACCTAGAGGGTATTGGGTTAAGTGAAATAAGTCAGACAGAGAAAGACAAATACTGTGTGATTTCTCTTATATGTGGAATCTACAGAACAAAATAAACAAATCAGAAACTCATAGATACAGAGAACAGTTTGATGGTCACCAGATGTGTGAAATAAGTCAGACAGAGAAAGACAAATGCTGTGTGATTTCTCTTATATGTGGAATCTACGGAACAAAATAAACAAATCAGAAACAAACTCATAGATGCAGAGAACAGTTTGATGGTCACCAGATAAGAGGAGTATTGGGGGGATGCGTGAAAAAAGGTGAAAGGATTAAGAAGCACAAATTGGCAGTTACAAAACAGTCATGGGGGTGGACAGTACGGCATAGGGAATGTAGTCAATAGTATAGTAATAACTTTGTGTGGTGCCAGGTGGGGACTAGACTTATTAGGAGGATCCCTTTGTAAATTATATAAATGTCTAATCACTATGCCGTATAGCTGAAATTAATATAATGTTGAATGCCAACTGTAATTGGAAAATGAGAATAATAAAATTATTTGACTTCTAAAAAAAAGTAAAGAAGTGTCCATTTCATAAAGTTTCCGGCATCATGCCAGGAGCACTGTTATCTTCAAAACCAAGTCCTTTTTTCCTAAATCACTGCCCCCGCAGCCCAGAGCCCCTACATCCCTCACCGCCCACAGCAGGATGGCCTCAGACAGCCCGAGGGTCCGTGCTCACCCAGCATGGGGATGGGGAGACACAGGCTTTCCTCCTCAGAGCCTGGAGGCAGCCGCTCGTCCAGGGGGGCCCACACGCTCTTGGTGGACCTCAGGATGTCTCTCCTGCTCTTTTCTTGGCTTCCTTGAGGGCTGTCAGATCCATGTGACTTCTCCGCCATCATAGGAGAGGAGTTCGGCACACTGATTTAAAACACACGCAAATCAGACACAGTGAGCTCAGCTTTCGGGCCTGGCTCAGTGAGAGGGAGAAGGCCAGAATGCTTACAGTCCAGTGAGTGGAGCCAGGTTCACCATCTCCGGCAGCCTGGCTCACCTACCCAAGCTGAAGTCCCTGCTTCAATGCAATAAATGGTTCTCTCTCAATGGAGAGGTGCTGGAGACCAGGGACTGTGGCATCACCCATCACCAGGCCACATCCACCCTCCAGTAGGACTGAGATGGGAATAGAGGGCAACGAAATTGAACTAGTGGACACACCCAGCCAAGGAGAAAGTTTAAAAACAGTGATTAACACAATAAGTATCCTGAAAATTTATGCAATAGTTACATCTAGAAAAATAGTTTTACAGACCCAAAATGTAAAACACAGGGCTTTGGCAACAGATCAACTTGGCCAAGTCTCATCTCTGTAACTTATTGTGTGGCCTTGGGCAAATTATATAATCTCTCTGCATTTCCTTATTTTTTAGTGGAGGATAAATTGTACTGAATTTTAACAACTGTTAACCTCAGTGGAATGCGTATTAAGTGCTAGAGTCCACGCTGAATTCTATACAGCTGTTATTTAATCTAATTGTCAATGAAGGAAGTAATCTAAATGTCACAATTTTATAGTAAATTGAAGAGCAGAGGGATTGAGTTGTAAACTGAAAGCCACACAACAACCAGGATCGAAGCACATTCCTATGACCACGAAGCTTTACTAGCTACCCTATGGGGTGGTTGGGACAGTGAGAATATTGATAAATATATTTTGCACATGGCATAAGAAATGCAGACTTCCTCATTATCTCATTTGACATTTATTAACATCCTTAGGAGGCTCAGAGAGTAAGAGAAGGAGACAGAAGCTTAGAGCACCCGTTGAAATTGCTTAAACTCCCGATTATCAGCACACTGGGAACAAGGGACCCACTCTTACTCACTGATGTGTCTCTACTGCATGACTGAATTCTCAGCACATAGAAGGTGCTCAATAAATATATACAAAATTAACTTAGCAAAGCTAGGGTTTAAAGCCACATTTTCTGACTAAATTCTTTCTACGGCATCTACTTGAATTTGCATTAGTTTATTCTTCAAGCTTAGAGAGAGATAACTAAATAGTCAAACACCCACTTTAGCATGATGTCCTGCATCCCTAAACCTATGCATAATCCCTGATCACATGACATGTAGACCATTTCTAATCAATGTTTCGACAAGGCAAGTCATTCGGATTTATTATAAACATCTGAATAGTCTAAGTATAGGTGAACATTCTAGGTGCAATTGGAAGAAAGAGACTCCCTATATGCTTTATATATTAAAAACTTTATCATTTATTAGAAGTGTAAATATACATTTATTGTTGCAATAGTAAATTACTGAAAAAAATGAATGACAAGTGTGATGACTGTTAATAGTCTGCTAAAATAACGCAATTACTAAGACATTTCAATTAATTAAACATTTGGGTAAAAGGTAGACAGTTAATATCTATATTAACAGTGAGCATGGTAGCCAGGAAACTTCAGAAAGCTAACTTTATGAATATGTTCTGGGAGTAAGTAAATATTTATAAAAATTTCAATGATAACACAAGACAAAAATAAAACAGATTAGACTGTATTTTTAATGTTTACAAAATTGTTTGGTAAACCAGAATTCGTAACACTAAACAAAATAACCTTCAGGAACTGCATTTAATTTTTCGTTATTTAATTTTACGTAAGCCTTGGGTTTTTTGAGTAAATAAAAAGTTCCCTTTGGCAACATCTTGCATCTTATGTGTGTGAATTATAACCAGAGCATCAACTCTGACAGTGCAAAATCTCAAAAGAAAGAAAAACTCCAAAATCATGTTTAACAACATTCATGAAATATCAGACTCAATAAAGGATCGAGGTTTGAAGAAAGGAATAACATATTATGGAAGAATAAAATCCCTCAAATAATCTCGCTCCTTTACTGACCTCGGCTGAAAGTCAGTTTTTATTTATCATGAGAGATTCTGCTCTGTAGTGGGAGCAGGAGCTGTCAAGCAGCTGACAAATTGCTGAATTTGTTGAATTTTAACCTAGCTACCACTTTTTCAAATATACCACTAAAAATCCTCAAAGTTTTGCATGAAAGTGCTGCTTTATTGGTCCGTCCCCAAACTTCCACTCTACAATGGCATGTGTGATCTCAGCCACCCTCCTTGAACAACCAGTGAGGATGCGCTCCCTGTCACCTCAGTTGTACTTGGCCTCAGAGTAGGAAAAAGTTTGCCAGGAAAAGCGGGAACCCTTGCTAAACGTAAGGGTCAAGGGCCAGTTTGCAAAGAAAATCTCTTGTTCCCTCTATTTTAGCGGCTACCTTCCCAGTTAGTAAACAAATCTGCTTCCGGAAATGGATTCTCTGATGCTCGAAGGGTCTTCCGTTGGTGTCCACTGCCTTGACCCCTAGAATGGCCCTTCAGAAAGAGACACGGATCAGATGGCAGCCTTGAACTGCCCAGTGGACTGACAGGCCAGAAGGTATGGAGTGTGGCCTCTGCTAATCCCTCTAGTTAACTACTCTGTCACCAGGATACTTGGAACCAAATTTTTGCCAACACTGACTTGACCCAAAGTGAGTCCTCATTCTGCACCGTGTTGTCCCCTGTGCCATCCCTTCTCTCTCCTCAGATTATTTCTATTCTGATCACTACGCCGTTAGTCCTTAAGTGTATAAAGAACTCCCGTTAATGTGGGAAATTTCTTATATTATCATGTTTAATCTTAAAAAAGAGGATGCAAAACCATTTATATATACCAAGAATTCAATTTTGTGAAAACAAAACAAAACAAAATAAGTATCGAAAAGACAAAAAAGAGATGTACTGAAATGTTACCAAGTTTTTATCATTTTAAAAATAATTAAAAGGAGAAAACAACTGGCTTTATTTTATTAATTTTACATCACATTTTCTTTCAAGCTATCGTAAGATATCAAAGTGTCCAGACATGCCTTGCTCCTCTCTATCCTCCATATATGGCGACTCCCCAGGAGCAGGGAGTGTGTGTGTGTGTGTGTGTGTGTGTGTGTGTGTGTGTGCACCTCCATTTTAAAGCAGAGATTTCTAAGTAATCACTTGATTCCCACTTCCGCAATTTCAGCCAAAGCTATCTGAGTAAGTACCTCCTTTTACCTTCTCTTATGTGCTTTCCAGCAGCTAACAAGCAGATAAAGATCTTAATTCATCACTGGAGAAACAAAAAAATTATTTTAATTAATTGACAAATAGTTAATTAGTTGCATGACATTGGGTATGTAGTTTTAAGCTGTCTTGGAATGTAATTTCCTCTTGCAAATATGAGGGAATTGGATGAGATGAGATAATTCCATAAGTTGGTTATTGTATTTCTAGCCTCCACATAAACTGTTTAATATTTGACCAATGGAGCTCATAGTTATTAAAGCTATGTTTATCGAAACTATAAAAGTGAGAAGAATCAAACATTGTTCCTGTTATTTACAGGTTTAGGGAGACCACTCAGCAACTCAAACAACAAACCCAAGCCAGGAACATCCTTCTGCTCTTCCTTCCTATCCAAGGATCAAAGTCCCACAAACACTTCTAAAGATTTCCAAATGATTCAGTGAAGTAGAGGCAGATCCTGGGGAAGAAAGTGTTCTATCAACACTCTGCTGGGAAGAACAAGCAGTCTGTGATGACTTATTCTGTGGGTGGCTTCCTCCCACCATGAAATATGTGAAGGGTGCTCACTTCTGCCATTTCAGAGCAAGCTGGATTGAAAGACAAGGCCGTTATGCCCAAGTTGGAACCCAAAGTCAGTTTCTTGGACTTGGAGTTTTCAACTTTTGCTGGTGAAATAAGCAAAAGATTATTAATTCAAGAACCGTAATACAGCTTCCTGGAAACCTGAAAGGCCTTCAAGGCTGGTAAAGTGGGATCGATTGATTTATCTGCTGTTAGCCCCATTCCAATTCCACGCCAACTTTAAAGCTGTTTTTCTTTCTCAATGAGTCCCTCTTCTCTCTTGTCTTCTCAACGTTGGCCTTGCCTCATCCTGGGGAGGGAGAACGGAAGGATGTGGGGGCATCTATGATCTACCCCTGGTCTCCCACTCCCACATCGTCGCAATCCAGGTTCCCCGGGCTCACCATCTTCTGGATGCACAGAACCACTTGTTCTCAAATCCGCCCTCCCTGCTGATACCATGTGGCGAAGATCCCTCCCCTAGCAGTGCCCTTATTTTAACTCAGTACCACTCCCTGGTCCACATAGAACTCTTCTCCTTATCTCTCTCCAGTCCCACCCTAGCCTGCTCTGGGCACTCACAGCAACTTGTGCAACCCCTTGCTGTAGCATTCTTCACACTCATGGACACTTCTGCCTTTCCCACGCAACTAAATGGATTCCTTGGGGGCAAGAGCCGTGACTTATTTATTTTTGTATCCATGGCACTTAGTCTGGTATATGGATGATAATAGGTAATTAGCAACAACTGTTTAATGAAAGAATAACTTCTGACCCTGGTCCCTGTCTGTGCTTTCAGTGAGGGGCAATTGTGACTTATTCATCTTTGTGGTTTCTAGCATGTCAGGCACAGTACCATGCACTAGTAGTTATAAAAACACATCATATAAATGAACTATTGATAAATAAATTCAATAGATATATACTAATTCAATTCAATTAAATATTTTACTGTATATAAAAGAACTTTGAGGATCTTGCAGTTGACTACAAGAAATAGTACTTATTAACTATATATCATGAAGCAGAATATAATATGCATTTTAAGAGATGTACAAAACAACTGTTCTCAAATATTAAAGGAGGAAAATCTTCATTCGGGGGCTAAAAAATTTTTTGGTAGAGGAGGTATTGGCCTTGGCTCTTGAAGGTGGGATAATGGATAGGAAAACATTCTAGATAAGGAGATTAAAATGCACGTGAGCAATTATAGCATAAATTTTACCAAAAGACTATTAAACAGTGGCTCTGCAACAATTA